ATTATGTCAAACTTGATATATATGTAGCATGATCGAAAAATTTATTAGAGATTAGATGGTTTCCACGGTGAGTTTTAGATGATTTTTATTTGTAATAAAAGGTAAACAATCAACTTTAAAGACTAGAAACCGAATTGTCACGAGGGCAATAGATTGAGGGTTAATTATTTCATTTTCACCTCTATCACTGTATCACCATCAACTCGACTTCCGTTTCCGACATTTCGTTTCGTTTCTCCTCAAAAAACCCACTCCAGATCTGTCGGAATTGTACTCAAATTCCCGTCGAGAAATCCCATAAAAATGTTTCTCCTGGACTGGTTTTACGGCGTCTTGTCCTCACTCGGCTTGTGGCAAAAAGAGGCCAAGATCTTGTTTCTTGGCCTCGATAATGCCGGTAAAACTACCCTCCTTCACATGCTCAAGGACGAGGTAATAATTTATCTATTTTATTTTTTATTTTTTTTTTGCAGAATTATGGGAATGATGAAATTAATGTTTTCTTTTACATGGATTTTGATGGTTTTGTTGGATTGGATTTATGGATTATTTGTAGAGATTAGTGCAGCATCAGCCGACGCAATATCCGACATCAGAAGAGCTGAGTATTGGGAAAATTAAGTTCAAAGCCTTTGATTTGGGAGGTCATCAGATCGCCCGTAGAGTCTGGAAGGATTACTATGCCAAGGTATGCATATTGCACAAGTAATTAATCTAGATACTTGTGTATCCTACGCTAATTGTGTCTTAAATCGAAAGGATCCAAATTTGTCTCTCTTTTCGTTTTGGTTAAAGGGGATTAAGATAGTTTCTGTGGAATTCGCTGTTAGCTGTGAATTTTTTTTAGTCTGACGAGAGTAAGACTGCTGAAATTAAGTTATTGATCTGATCTTTCTTGCCTGTGTACAACTGAATTGATCTCTGCATAGCTTGGTTTTTGTTGATGTTTCCCGTGATCTGTATAACTGATGGTTGAGATGGTAATTCCGAATCTTATGCTGAGTAATTTTTCAGTTGGAAATCTTCGATTCATGATGTAATTTGGTGGGCTTTTCGAGCTGGTTTCTATGGAAGCAAGTAAAATATGATTGGTGGCCTCACAACCGCATCATGTAAATTGGCATAGTTTCTATTTACATTTCTTCCTCTGAGTTATTCAGATCACTAGAAGCATTATGCTTCCTGAAATATATTTGGACATTTAATGGCAGTAAACTTTGTGGGTTACTGTAGGCTATTGTGTAAGTGAAATGTGAAATCTCCATTAAGTTCTAATTTTGCACTATGTAAAATGATAAACTTAAGAGATAGGTACAAGAAACCCCCCTTTAAGTTAGTAACGGACTTACATAGATATTTTCTCTTTAAAAATTACATAAATCTTCCTTGACGATTGTTTTGGCAACAAATTCTCCATTTAATGGTTTTTAAAGCTTTTATCAGAAAATTGTCTAATATCTAAAGTACATATATAAACTAAAAGGGGAAAAAAAACTGAAGTCTATCCTCACTACTTTCTTTTCCCCTCCTGCTGCCTGCACAGACCCTTATCCCGCTGCTAAACAACCCTCTGCCAACTAATCCCCCCCAACCACTCACATTCCCTCGAAGCATGTGAAATTGCTGATTGGACTTGGTGGAACTAAAGTCCACCATGCTAGCTGGTAAAACATGAACAAAAGAGGCTGCCTGCCTGCCCATAAACTAGCTAGTCTTCAGAGGGGAAACGGAATCAAGAACGAAAACAAAGGCAGACCCATTGATCACCAAACGCTACAAACTTAAAACACCTAGCACTAAATTTACACCCTAACTAAACTCACTATCAAGAAATCTAACCTCCACTACGATACATATGAAGAAGGGAGGAAAAGAGAAAACAAAAGACCAAATAAAATAAAAAGAAAATGAGAAAATGGATCTCCCAATATTAGATTTAAATCTCACACCCCTCAAGAAACTAAAACAAAACGAGTTAGAAATGATTTGAATTGAAATAATACTCAAATGCGTTAAGGATGTCTAGGTGGGGATATTTTTTATTTTATTTTTTCTTGGGGGGGTGACGGGGTCTGGGTGGGAAGAAGATGGTTGGCAGATGGGGGTTGAAGATGATATCTAGGAAATTTATTTGCTTTTTTCTTCTTCTTATGTTTATGAGGGTAGTTTAGGTTTTTTATATTTTTTTCAAATAAAAAAGTGCTAAAGTTGAAATTTGATAAACAGTTGTCAAGGAAAACCTCTGTATTTCTGATAAGAGATGGACAGCATCTCGAATATTAGTTATCCAAGTTCTTACTGAAGTTTTCTCTAAACTTAATATCTTTTAGAATCTAGTAGTGGTCAACTGGTCATATCCAACAATTTACAAGTCATGTTAATATTTAGAAGCCTCTAATGGGATCAATCATCAATTTGAAGTTCATGTTAATAAGCAGCAAAATGAAAACATGTTGTGGCTAAAAGTGTGCACAGTTATAGCACTAAAAGAAACAAAGGAAATGGCTGAAAACTTGCCGAGTATGTGACCATATAAGAACATGTATTGTGGCTATGGGGCAAACCATGTTTGTTTTCAATATCAGTATATCTTTTTGTCGCGTTAATTACCACCATGTAATCTCTGCTTCTTGTCTGGTACTAACACGTTCCACTTATATTTATATAGGTCGATGCTGTAGTGTATCTGGTGGATGCATATGACAAGGACCGTTTCGCAGAATCAAAGAAGGAATTAGACGCACTCCTTTCTGATGAAGCTCTTGCCAATGTCCCCTTCCTCATTTTGGGAAACAAGATTGACATACCGTATGCTGCCTCAGAAGATGAGTTGCGCTACCACCTTGGCCTGACTGGTGTAACCACTGGCAAAGGGAAGGTGAATCTTGCAGATTCTAATGTGCGCCCATTGGAGGTATTTATGTGCAGCATTGTACGTAAAATGGGGTATGGTGATGGCTTCAAATGGGTGTCTCAGTATATTAAGTAAGACGATCCTCAGAAAAATGCTCCATTAGTTACACCAATCCCCTGTCTCTTGACAAAGGAAATGAAAAAGGGAAGGAAAGAAGAAAATTTCATTCTTTTCACCATGATTCAGTTTTTTAATCTTCAGTCGCAGTCATGTCTTATTTGAATTTTGTTAGAGCCAGAAAATTGGATATTTCTCTAGTGTTCACTGTTAGTAAAATATTATGAGAATTGGTGTTAAGAATCGAAAATAATGTTTGTCTTTTCATTTTGCATTTGTTTGAGTATGGTATTGCGGAGGTGGTTGTGTTAATTTTCTTGTCATGCAGAACATATTAAAACCGTTCTTTCTGCTGCAGTTTTGTTATCGGAACCGTATTTTTCCTACAGAAACTCTTTTTTCTGGGATCTACCGAGGAAGGATTAGGATAGGAGAGTATGCATGTATTTTACATATTCTCAGAACTTTTGCTTCTAAACGACTTTTTCTTGACATGGAGGCATCTTACATACCATCTTGACGCCATGGGACATGACTCAAACTAGAAGGGTGAGTTAATACAAACAAAACATGGCCAAGAGATTTTGCAAGGTCAATTATAAAGCATTACAAGTATGAATGATCAGTCTTAATCCTGGATTCTACTCGGCTTAAGCTTTACACGATGAAAGCAAAAACGCTAAATATATTGACTTACTCATAGAAACTAACTAAATCATGGGCCATCTCAAGAATTTTGAAAAGTCTATGATTCAAAAATGATATCGAATAATGAATTTATGGTGATTGATTGTGTGACATGACATCCAGTGAAAATTCAAATACTAATAGCATTGTCTTTGTTTCCCATGACAGCCACCAACCAAACTCTTCATTGCAATATGATCCGTCGTTCCAAGTTATTGTAATTTTATTAGATTTTTGTCATAATAATGTAACTTGATGTTGAACATGAAGAGATCACCATATTTTACATTCATGAATTCATCCGGCCTTGGGCTTATGGATCAATATGCTATTTTTTACAAGTTTTGACCAATTGATTCCGATAAATACAAATACTTGTTGAGAAGACTCACTTTGGCTACTCTTGATCTCAAGCATGAAGATAAGCTCGAGCTCATTCAATATTCCCCGGACAGTCGTCGTGCCTTGCGAGCTTGAGCTTGGTATTAAGGTCAAGATTTGATACAAAAAGCCTCGACCTCGTAGAGTCCCACTTGAAAGACACCCTTTCGATAGTAGACTCCTATTGCACATCCACTAAATGAGCCCAAGTCCTTTTCTTCATATTCAAGTGCAATTTCTTTTTGAGTTTATTAGTCTGTAAGAATATTTTTTTTATGAGAGAGGCTATAAAATTACTTGAGACACTATTTTAGGTACATAAAAGCTTGGGTAATGCCATTTGTACACTTTTGTGCACACCATTGTTGACATTATCAAACTTGTCAACAAATGATTGGACAAAAAAGCTGTCTTATTTTTAAACTGTCAAATGATGTATTATCATGTAACAAAGTGTAAAACCTGATGCACACCGTGACGTACACCAAGCATGATTTTAAAAGCTTTACTCAAGATTTTGCTCCCCATCTCGCAGTCCACGTTGCCCCTATTACTATGTGCAATTTTTAATAGTATCACTTATCATATCATATAAATATAAATATTTATAAATTGACAATTAGTGTATATTGACGTCATGTTTACCCTTTCTAGGGGAGGAAATGGTAATCGGCGTGAATTACACTACACGTCACGACCACTCCGTCCAAGACGTTATAGTCAACACTCTCATTTCTCTGACTCCCTCCACCCCCACCTATCATATATATAGAATGATAACCAGAGAAACGAGCAGTGAATTAAATTAATAAGCAAGAAACGAAAAGGAATTCATCGAATTACTTACATATTGATGGGGAATTTCACTTCTTGTTGCTCCGTCGAATCGCAAACAGCGAAAATCATTGATCTTCAAGGGAATATTCGGATTATTGAGATCCCTTTAACAGCCGCAGATCTAATGCTTGAAGAACCAGGTCACGTTGTTTCACCGGCCGTTGAGATTTCGGGATCGAATTCCCGGTTTTCGGCGATGAAAGCGGATGAACAATTAATTGCCCGAAGAGTTTATATACTGATACCTTTATCCAGGGTTCGCAGTAAGGTCACGGAATCGGAGTTGGCAGTAGTTAAGGCTGCCGCCGGTGATAAAAAGAAAGCAAAACGACATAGTTCTAAGGTTCTGCCGGTAGTGACTGAAAGTTTCGATGAGGAAATTGTTACGCCGATTCCCAATCACCGGCTAAGACCATGGAAGCCTTCTCTGGAACCAATTTCAGAGGGAATTTGAGAAATTTTTTCCATTATTCATGATTGGTTATGTAAAGACTAAAGATGATTAATTCTGACTTGGCAAGTTTGTGGATATTAATTATTTTGCTCTCATAGGAAAAATAATAATTATATAAGTCGTAATTTTTAAATTAATATCATTTCTCAACTAGTGAGGTTTATAAATAAGAGAGAAAATCAAACAAGCATTTGCTCCACCCTTTCAACCTTGTTAATGTTAAGAATTCATTATACGTCTTAGGTTAATTTTCAGAATTTTGAAAGTTGGAAATTACAAAACTAACGCATATTTGCAAACTTAACCATACGGATTTTATTCTAAGTCAAATGATCGTACTTCAATTATGTTCAATCAAATAGCTATATTTTAATCCAATCTCAATCGAATAACTCCGTCTAATTTTATCATCGAAACTGACAAAAACCGATAGTCGATATAGGAAGCTCGTCACTTGTGAGTGAAGTTGCACAAATTTCACGTCAGCAACTAACAGTCACATGTGTTGATCATTTATTGAATATCGCATAATCTATTTTCCATCGATGAATTGGGCAAGGTTTTCTTACTTGAAATGAAATTAAAGTGTACTTACTCGATTTAATTGAACAAATTTTAGATATTTATCTGATTGATACTAAAGTAAAGATTACCGCGAGTAGAATTAGCTCGATAAACTACTTCATTTGATTGAACTCTGACCTTCTGTATGGTCATGGCGTCAATCAAGGTTTGTAGTGAAGACCAGCAAATTTTCGTTGATTGTGCCTCGTAAATACTTTTTAAATAAAAAACATAGTTCCCTAAATATAAACGTAAAAAATCAAACTATAATTTTCAAACCCACAGTATTGAACCCGAAAGTAAACATTTCGTGATATAGCTGCCTATTGTGTATTTACCCTCTAATTAATCTTTTGCGAAGGATCTAACTTTTGTCTGTAAGTTCCGCAATTCGACCCTAAAAATACTTAGAGGAGTGTGAATATGTACATTATGTGGAATTAAAAATATTTTAACAAATTAGCAACAAGTCACCAATTGTTATTTCTAGATGATTAATCACGTCAGTTTAATCCTATGTTTGAATACCGCAATTTATATGATCAATCGATAAATAATAACGAAAGCAGTAAATCAACACCAGAATGATCACGGAGAAACCAAACTGGAAAAAATCCCGGACACTTTGCCAGTCAACAATTCACTGTAAACGATATGTAACTTGCAGTCTACTAGCCTAAACGACGACACGTACTATCTGATCTCCCGATTACAATTCAAACAGCTTTCCCGAATTCTATGCTCCTGCACCACTCCCAACTGTAGTTTTTAAAACTCTCCTGGATTCTGCTCTGCTGCAGCAACTCCTAACTTTGTAAAATCGTTTATCTCATGTGGATCCACGAAAAACACCGACTTCTTCGCAAACTAGAACTCCAGTCAAATTTCCTTAATCTTCAGATCAGATATAGAGGAA